GGGTCGGCCATGGAATTGCTTCCCCAAAGGGCGCTGCCAAGAAAGAGGTCCACACTAGCCATCCCCAGGTCGCTGGAAGGCACTCCAACACGGTCAACCGCGAGGCACCCCCCACCCGATCTTCCCACATCCGGTCGTCGGAACCGCAATGGAACCGCACACAGGGCCAGCTAAGTAGCTGCCTTTGGTGCCAGACCCGGAAAGCTCAGATGGCAAACGATGAGCATCCCTGGACACCACCTTCCGGCTATTGACCAAGCGAACACCAACTACCACGGTTTTGTGATTTTCCGCCTCTTGTGGTGGAGTGTGCGTGGATTGTCGAGCCGTGTCCAATGGTGCCGAATAGGTCAGCGTCAGGCCCCTCCCAAGCACTGGGACCAGAACTCCCGTGACTCTGCTCCCTTCACGCCGGCCTTGCACCCCCACACATCTCGAAGTCTGAAGCCTGAAAAAGCCTGAATAAGTGTCTTCTGCATGGATCCAGCGAGGTGGAAGGAACTCGTCATGGCTTCCTGCGGCCTTTCTCCCGCGAGTTCACTGTGTTTTCATTGGGCAAAGGGTCGCAGGAGTTGATTTACACGGGGAACACAAATCCTAAGTAAGTCGAACCCTAAAACAACAAACCTCCTCACGGGAAGGAGACTGTCATCAGCAGATCGCTTGCTACAGGCCTTCGGACAGAATAAACCAACAGGCACATGCAGCAAACAGGTCACTCAGCTCTGCGCATTCCCAGAGAACCTTGCCTCTGACGAGCTTAGGCGAGAAGTGCTCGTGTCTGCTTGTCGTTAACGGACAACCGCAACACGATCTATCCCACGTTGCAGTATTCTGCGAGCCTGATGTCTTTCACGACTGCTTCGGCTGATGCGCTCTTTCTGTTCTAGTCGCTCTCACTTGGACTGGCAAACAAGGTATTCGGTGCCAAATTTTGAACGCTAAACATGTACATGTGCTTAAGCATGGGGCACAAGCGTGCATGATCAATGAAGAAATCACAGCATCAGCTCCGATGCACTTTTCAGTACGCCCGGATTTGTCAGGTGCAGCTGCGGCACTTCGCATTGGCTGCTGCTCATGCCGGGCTCTGCCTTACTTAATGCACGAGAGGGGCGAGCGATTTCTCATGGTGGGCACACAATGAATGGCACACACATTATAACGGACGTTGAGAATTGGACCTTTGAGAGCTTATGGGCATTTGAAGATGGTCGCGCTGCAGCTTGTGGACGCGTTGTGGTCTCCAGGTAGTCTCCTTCTGCGAGCCACCGGCTACCTCTTCCACTTTACTTGTACGTATGAGACCCACGCTCACTGCAGCAGTCATCCTGGTCTCGGGTCTTCAACAATTCTGATGCGACTGCCCCGTGACTCGGTGCAGCCGACAAGCCAGGCAGGCCGAACGTGTGCAATTTTGTGTGATCAAACTTGGCAGCCAATTCCCGGGCTGCAGTCCTGTGCCTTGCACGGGACACCTGGCTGCACGGAAGGCGCACGAAAGCAAACCTTTACACAGTTGATCGCTCTCAGCACAAGGAGGTACGCACTTCCACATGGACAGCGACGCTGAAGTCAGGATTGAACAAGTTCTCAGCTGTCAGACCCCAGAAATTCGTTCGGTCGGCTTCCCGCCTATTCGCTTTGCCTAGCCTGCACTGCTCCTGTCAGCGGACTCATGTTGAATCATGACATTGCATCGTGGATTCGCTGTGCACCAGGCACACGATGGCACAAGCAAAACAGCATCCACGTCGGCCCATGCCTGCTGAATGACGGCCTCAACCGGGTCTGCTTAGATCTTTCGCATCGGCGGATGGTAATAATCAATTCGTTAACTTGTTGCCATGCACACTGACATGCTGTGAACGAAGGTGCGACATCGTGCAAGCAGCAGCTGCCTTCTCACTCCGGCGCTTGGCTTGCTTTTGCTTGTCTTCATGCCTTGTGTCCGCACCAGGACAACAACCACTGTGCGAAATGTCGAACAAATGACGCGGGCACTTGTCTGCACGTGCCCTTATCTTCATCATGAGCGTTAATTACACGGCTGGCAGGTGAATATCGCTGTACTCGGTGACCATTGTTTAGTAGAGAGTGCCCGCATGCCCGGACCGCCAAGTGCTGTTACCTCTCACGTGGCTACATGTCTCAGCATGCGCGTTCGAACCATTCGACAATGCTGGCTTCTTTTCTTGGGCTGGTTCGATAGATCTGCTTCCCTTTCACTTCGCAACAAGTAAACTTAAGTAAACCATCCAAAATGTTTCGTCTGAGAAAGTCTGGAAATCTTGAGAGCAGACACTTTATTTATTTAGCTTGAGCAGGGTTTCCGTGATGTCAAAGGCTTCGGCGTGTTTCGGCTCCACGTTTCTGTGGCACCTCAACACCTCAGTCAATGCTTCAATGAATTGGCCATCTGCTGCTACGGTAGAAATTTATGCCAACGATGTCCGAAACGTCTCGCTTGCATGTCGTGCTTCTCCTCTGTGAAACTCGAGCTGCTGCGGTTATGCTCGGATGCCTGCCGGACCCTGCCGAAGCAACGGACTCACGGCCATCCGTGCTGACCTGAAGAACACAGTTTCAGCCACAGAAACCTGCTCAAATCGACTTGGCTGATGCGTGCAAACATCCGTGACAAGCAAATTAAAATGATGGCATAACGAAACGCGATGAGCTTCAAGTCTAGAATCGTTCGGTCCACTGCCAGCCTTGATGAGTTGCTGCAGCCGCTCGTTCAAGTCGTGAATTCGATGTGCGGAGCGATTCAGCAAGGCCCTGCGGTCGGACCACTTTGATGACCACACAAAATAGACACGTTTCTCAGACTTGCGCTGGTTGCGGGCGACCGAGGCATCTGCCTCAGAAACATAAACCAGCACAGTGGCAGTGGCAGAAAGAAAAGTGTATCTTGCTCTAAGTATTCTCATCCTCCGTGCGCAGGCCTCATCGCATAACCTGTCGACAGTGGGAGGGGCTTCGCCTTTTCGAGATCGGGGCTGCTCAAGACTATACCCTTACTGAAAACCAAAATCCCGAATGCCGGAGCATGCCGGAGCCAACCGACGCCTTTACAGTCACGCCCCAAAATACGCTGCAGTTCTAGAGGCAGAACATATGCTGAGCGAACTCCATGCTAAGCAAGAGCTGATTTAGGCCAGAAGCTATGTATTTGTGCGTTTGTGCTGTGTGTCGGTGTAGTTCAACAATTTCTACTAGAAGAGACCCTTCGGCCTTTTGCAAACCTCCACTGGGTGCATCATGAATCTCCTTATTGTGCGTTTCTCCGCGAGCACCCCTTGTCATAGCATGCATCGAAGGACCCGAAGGTTCCGGGTGAGACTGTTCCGAGAGCCCAGGCCTGTTGATATCTCCGATTCCTTTCATAGCTTTTTGAAAGTGCACCTTGGCTCGCACGCATGCAGCTACAGCTACGTGCTCATCGAGCTGAATGAAGACCGAGGGCAGGGCCTGAAGGTGCTGCGCCTCGCAAACGGGATATGTTTGAGTGCTACGGTTCCACAGACTCAAATCGAATCGAAGGGAGCAGGCCCGCTTCTCCAGCTCGTTGCTGTGGCCCAGTGCTTTGCCCAAGCTGTCATCAACCTGGATTTCTGCACACCCAGAAGCCGAGTTGATTCTGTTTGAACTACAAGGAAACAAACACACACACACACAGACACAGACAGACACAGAGAGCGTTCCAGTCCGTTCCATCCTCACCTCGCTGAGATTGAGATTGCTGCGTCCAGCCTGCGCTTGTGCGTTGCCAACTGGAAACTCGCAGGTGGCTACCCCCGTGCTCGTGGACTGCTTTCGAAGATAGAGAACTTTGCATTCTGAGACGACCATCTAAACACAGGTTACACATCGAGGCAAACCCTTTGATTGCAACCATATAATTAATGCCTGCAGGACAATCTGTTACCTAATGCTCCGGCATCGCCGACATTTCTCTGTCCTCGCCTCTCCATCGCGCATGCTGACATGCACCTACCCGAAGTGGTGAGCTGCACATGTAGGCCGGCCCACCGTGCCGACTATCTTGTCTGCTTGTGGGCAACCTACCTGTTAGTTATACGGTCTGATTACAGAGCGTACTTAATTTCTTGCTGAGACATGATATCAATCAATCTCTTTGAGGACCATGGCAACTCAAGGCGCGATCGCACACATCGCTCGGCAGTACTACAGGAGCTACCCCACGGCTGTGGCTTCTGCCTTTTCTGCTGAGCGAGCCGCGAGCGCTGTTCCATCCGTCGTGCCAGGCTATTGCAGGGGGATGACATGTCAGTTGCGGTTCTTTATCACAGGCACTCGACTTATACAGCACCTTACATCCAGCGTGCCATCCGCCCACAATCGCATAGAGCACATACATAATCTCTTAACTCTGCAAGGCTAAGCCTTGGAGCACTTCTGGCCTGGCCGGAAGACTAAGCACGGCTAGGAATCATTATCAAGGCACAGGCTGCGGGTTCTTCGCGGTGGCTAGGCCAGCAAAACCTGAAGTCACACGCGGCTGGATCCCAATCCGATCTTGGCACATCACTGAAACACCGTCACAAGTCCTGCTCCGTCGTTATCATGCCAGCTGCGGTACAAAGGCCAGCTGCAGCAGGATACCTGCGAATTTGTGTATGGTTCCGAAGTGTTCGACAACAGATGCGCTGGCCGCAAGCACAATCACTACATGCTCTGTTTATCTCTGTTTCACACATTGACAGATGCATTTGACTTGTCTCCTCCTCCGTCCGTCAAACATGGCCAGATGCAGGCTGCATGTGCAAGGACACTGTTGGGTCTGCATTCACTCCGAGACTCCAGAAGCATCAGAGCCCCGTGGGCTCCTGTTACGCTGCTGCGCCTGCCCTCGGGCCACCTACCTCCTCCGCGTGTTGCCGCCTGCTGCCACCTTGCCCTTTGCTGCGGCGCGGTCCATACTAAAATGGCTCGGCCACATCTTAAACGCCTGACTCGTCCACAGTGCTGGAAAATGCTACCAGCAGAATCCAACCCACCACTATAGGATTGACCGAGGTAGATAGTACTGGTACTAGTAGCATATCTGGCCGCTTTGCTTTCATCGTGTTACCTCCACACATGCAGCACTTGATCTCCTTGCTTCTTTCCCGCTGGCCTCTTGTTCCTTCTTCCTATGCCGAATCTGAAAGTCACGACATTCAGAGACTTCTTCTGATTGTGTGGTTCTGCAGGGCTGCCGGAACACTGCAAAAACAGCACTCAGTACTAATGCTAGCGGTTAGCCGGCCACATCTAGTGTACAGGCGATACGCACAGCTTGCTGGGATCCTTGCAGAGCATGAATCACGACAGCCTTGAAGTTGGCTTGCACTTCTCTTTCATCGTCAAATCCAGGTCAAGGCTTTTGTCTTTACCAAGTCTCAGACGCTTCCACTTTCGAGCCGAGCGTCGACCTGGCATCAGTAGAGAATGTTTGGATGACCTCTGCCGCTCATCGAAACTGTCACGGACTGGTAGGCTCCAGCACGACTTGCTGTGGATCTTGGAAGATGCTCTTCAGCGCTGCTGCTTGGTTCTTCCCTGCCCAATGTCCGACCACTTACTTCCGACATGTGCTCTCTTCTCAGCTTCTGAAAAAGCGAAAGAGTGCAGCTATGCCGCCAATGAAACGCATGGCAGCCGAACTGACGAGCTCCAGCTAAACGGAATTGTACGCCTACGTATGCCTGCTTCTCCTTCACATCAGCTCTTTCGTGAACTTCCACTTGGTTTATCTTGGTTTATAAGGCGTCTTCAGCTCCGGCTCCTTGACCTCCTCGTCTCGCATTCTCTATGGGAGCTTGGCCAGCTGATTTTCCTCTCTTTGCGACTTCTCGTCTAACTGCATGCGTGCGATCACTTGACCAATCGAAACACCCAATATGAAAGACGCTGTGTGGGGCTTCCATTCTTGAGAGTGCTCGCGGCTTTTCGCGTCGTTCCACACACTCGCGCCTCGGACGTAAAACAACTAGAAATTGAGCTGTGGCACGCTGCGAACCGTGCCGCTTCATGTGGAAGGTCTCATGCTCACTCAGGCTTACAGACTTTGGCAAGTCCAGGCCGGGATGACAATTGTGAGGTTCTTCACGAGCACGCTGGAACCTGCACACCTGGCCACAACGCACAAGCTGTCGGCTTGGAAGGCTACTGGGCAAAACAAGTGGTGCTCATGCCTTCCCTGCCAGGAACCAGGATCTGGCACTGCCTCCACAACAAGCAAAAGATGTGCCGGCCACTCGTTTTGGGACAGAAGCTCAGTTGTGAACACCCGGCTCGTCAGCCAGGTTGCAATAACCTGCTCATGTTGTTCAGTCGGACCGATGCGTAAGTGAGAGGCAAACAAGTCGGGCAGGCATCCGGCAGGCCTCGAGACATCGCGAATGCTTCATTTTACAAAACAGATGCCATCTCCCGACGAAGTCTGTGGCCGCTGCATGCCTGTCAGCTTGCCTGGGCAGCCCCTTTCACTAGGTGCCCCAACCCCTTTTTGCTCCGGCCTGCAAGAGATATGGTGGCATTGGAGCCTTGCATCGTGTACCTTGAAAATTTGTTGCCGTAAACCATCGCATGCACGGCGGCAGCGGCCAGTGCTTGCTTGCTGTTTGGCCGGGCTCCAGGCCAGTTGTACCCACGACTGAAAGCCGCGAATCCGACCTCTGACGAATCTGCAAGCCATCTGCCATGCAGGATCTGAAGTCATGTATTGTCAGGTCCCTTCTTGTTTGTTATTTGCCACCGGTTTCCAGCGCATGCGAGGCAGGGAACGAGTACTTTCTGAAGGTTGACAGCGCAAACAAATTACCTGCTAAGCCAGCAGCTAGTGGAGAGGCTGAGGGTTTCGGCATGTCAAGACGACGAGTAGAAGGACTCAATAGGCTCATGCATGTGATCCCTACAAGTAGCAAGTACCGCTAACGCCCCGTGACAAGACATGAAACCTTGACGACCGGCACCAACAGCAATCAACTTGCTCATGCTCCAACGAACTTTGAGGCTGTGCCAGGAACATGTTCTGGAACGGAGTTCTTGGCAGAAGTCGTAGCACGGAGCCCTATGTAAGCACTGCCTGGGAGAGCTACTTGTATACATCTGAATGTTTGCTGCTACATTGGTCTTATGCAAACGAAAATCTCTGAATGCTGAGCATTCGACTTGCCCAAGACTGAAGCCAATGTGCCCATCTCCGTCGTCCCATGCGTCATGAACTTCCGCAGAACTCAGCGCCAGCAAGTAGTGATTCATGAAGCTGAAAAATAGGCGTAGGCTGTAGCCAGTGCCGGCAGTATCCGGCAGCTATCACGCCAATCCTACGGCATCTGGTGAGCGTCCGACTTGACAATGCTTGCTACATTTAAAGAGTTGTGTACTTCTGTTTGTCATGTCACGGCTGCCACCCCTGCCTATGCCCTAACCCGACTAGAGTTTGAGTTTGTGCTTGCATGTCAAGTCAGTCGGTCGTATGCCGGGCGGCGCGTTGCACCTGTAAACAGGCAAACCGCACTGTCCCACGGTGGCTGACATGCTTCTTCCCTAACAAACGTGACCGCCATTCGCATGGCGGTTGTTCCACTCTTCTCACACACATACTTGCGGCAGGCTGTAGCGTTCCACGAATAAATGCAGAGCTGTGCAAGGGGTGGTCGTATGCAGATCTCAGCACTTTACCGAAAAGGAGGAGTTGTGGTTTCAAGTGCATGTCTGTCGCAGCGGGGTAACAAGCTCTGCGCAGAACTTCCGTCTTGAGCATTGTCGAGATGAAAGCGAGTGGGATGCCAACATATTCCGTAAGCAACGGTTTTGAAAGCCATCAAGACGCCGACGATCCCCGGAAGATAAACACAAGCCCGCTTTGCCATACCGATTTTCCAACCAAGTTCATGTCCTGGTAGCCCATCATAGTCGATGCCCAGCTTTGCCGAAATATGCTCACCCGTCGGGGTCCGAACGTTTGCTTGGCATTGTACCTGTAGCAATTGAAACTTATCCCAGTGAAGTTCCATGCCCTACAACAACCCTGCATGTGCGACCTGAGACAGATAGTCCTGCAAACGAGGGTCGGATGTGCCAAGCAACCATGTATCATCACACTTGCATGGGGGAGCAGCAGTGGGTTGTCTTTATGCAGACCTGCAAGCCCCTCCTTGCAGGAATGAGGCAACCAGCCAGTGGAAGTACTTGTGAAAATATGTTCATGTTACATGCAACAGCGTTTGTCTGTCATTCATGTGAATATCACCACGTGGAAACCTATGAGGATATACTGTATATGTTATTACAAAATTGCTCATGGACCTAAAATGCAAAATCTGTGCGACTGCATAAGTAGACTCGCAGGCAAACTGCAAAAGCAAACAACGGGGAACACAAAGACTTAACACCCTTCTGTGCTGACCTCTTGTGATTGAAAGGCTATCAACTAACATGGACAAGTGCAGCATTCTCATGTCACCTAGGGACCCAGGTCAGAGGAAGAGACCGGTACAGATGCAGAAGTCATGAGCCGTTACACCTGGCGATTGCGCGATTAATCGTATGGGTAACTTCAGCGAAACTAATAAAAAGTTAATTGCCTGTACCCAGTAGCACTCACAAAGACGGCTTCAACTTGTGCGCCGCCTCAACGCGGCGCCAAGACACGATTGCCACCTTCAAGCAGTGGTCGGAGCACGAGTTTCCATCCTCAAAATCTGCTCGGGACTGCGGCTTGAGTACGCAATAGGACGCATGAGTATCCCTTTTGGAACTTTTTGGAGGCAAAAACACGAGCTGCGGCGAGAGCACCATTTGGGGCGCAGACACGCACGGGACTTTCGCGAATGATGCCAAAAGAATTCCGATGAGGCGAATACATGTAATGCGATTGTTTAGCATGAAGGGGATGTCGGTCTCCTCTCGCTCTTGCGGGGGCGGACTACTCCCGGCAGAGCTGCCGTTGCAGCGCTGGCAATTGTATATTCCCGGGCTGAGATGATTTTTCAAGCAGTACAATAGTTGACCATATGTCGGAAGCCTGCTTCGGGGCGCGCCGATTGAATGTCATAATCAGAGCCGCCTCTGGGCACAACCCAGCCGTGCACTTGCCAGAGTGCATCTGATTGTGTGGGACGCGCAGGCATGTGCAGGCATCTTTCGCAGAGGAATGCTTTTGCACATTTCAACGCATTGTCTATGGACTTGCACACAATCGCCTCAAACTCGCACCGCACCTGGAAAGCGATCAGGGAAGCAGGGTTCTAATTGATTTTCGCACCTGTTGTCATCGAATAATTCCAGCACCAGCACAGCTGTCTTCCACCACAAAAGCTCAAGTACCTGTAAAACGGCTTGTCGACCCGCTAGGGCTACAACCCCACAATTGCAGGGACCAACCTGTCTGTTTGCACCGCTGAAGTTGGTTGCTGTCTGCATCCTGTCCATGGAGACTTTGTTTGCCTTCTGAGCTTTTCTTGCACTCGAATAACAGCAAGCTTCGATTGTCCCTTCTTCCCTTGCACTGTGCTAGGCCGAGAAGGCAACCTGTTTGAGAACTGGCGAAAGCGGAGAACACCAGACACTCCTGGGAACACTGGTCGGAGTGGATCTGAGAATCTGGAAACATATCGCCGCATGTGGAGACTGCACCCGGCCTCGCCAACGGTGTTCACAAACCCACGGTTTTGCAGTGTCCTGCATCGTAGAAGAACTTGCATGGCAAGCTGGATTGGATTTTTCAGCGCCAAACAGCCATCCAAGGACAGCAGTTTCCCAGCCCGTCGTTGTCGTAAAGATCTGTGACCGGCGACGTTGTGGGCGTGTCGCGGCCTGATGTCTGACTTCGCAGATGCTGCAATCGACTTGTACAGGTCACGGCATGAACCCATGTCGAACCTGCCAAATGAAAAAGCCCTCCGGATAAAGGAACAGCGAACTTCTGCGGGTGCTGCTTGCAAGTCTTGCTCGCTCTTCAAATTATCGAACACAAAACCTTGCAACTCTCGAACTGCATCCTCAGGGCCGAACAAACAACAGGAGATGCAACAGGGTCTTTCAGCGAGTCTCGACCTGCCGGAGTCTTTGCCTTTTGAAGTGAGCTGGAATCCTTGAAGCACAATCACCAGCTTTTTGCCTACGCCAGGTGGGCCCTGATTGAACTCGTGGAAACCATAAGAGGACATCAGCCTGTGCCAGATTCCGATGTAATGAGGCACCGCGTGAGGGCGAGTTGTCGAGAGCAACTGGGGGCAAGTGCCGAACAGCAGATCGTTTGTCCGCTCCGTAAGGCCAGGCCAGCATGTAGAGCTGTGCCTCAGCGCAGAGAAAACCCATCACAGTCGCTGTGCCACTTACTGCCAGCAATCTCAGATATTGGCCAAAGCATAGACTTGGCCGTGCTTGTAAATAGGTCTGCAGCTTCCAATGTCCCGGCCTTTGAACATCGTATCTAATTCACCACACCAGGCACCACCTACATGCAGCAAGTGATGGTGACTTGTTGATGGGCGACCATCCCAAGAGCAAACCGGAGAGGACGGCGGCTGACCTTGTACCTGTCGAACTCGCGGCAGTTTCAGGGGCGTCCTCCGTGGCATGCTGGCCTCAGGCTTCCAGCGCTCCCGCTGCTGATCATGATTGTCCAGAAAGAGGAGCGCCAGTTCGGTGGGAACAGGCCTGACATCAAATCCAAAACGAAACACGAAACGCGTGACTCCTGTCAGCCATGAGCTCCCAGCGAGTCACATACTCGATAGCGACAGTCTGGAAAGCCTTCGCAAGAACAGTGCGATCTCTTTGACTCATGCGACGGATCCAATCGCAGCAGGAGCCGGCGATTGATGTTTTTGCCTTCACGCTGCAACCGGAGAAGCTCACCTAGTTGGTGGGACCTTCCAGCAGGGCGCAAGTAGCTGGTGTGATCTGAGCACCTGAAAACACATATTTTTACGGATGCCTGTTGAACCAGCCGCCGGCTTTTCCATCAAAGAGCGATTCGGCAACACGCTGCCCGAATGTAAAGTCGGTCGCTGAGCCGATGGCTGTTGCCTGACACAACTGCAAGGCTGCAAGTGCATTGAAACGACTGTGCTCGACAGCCGTCCCTCGCGACACCTGAAACCTACAATCACGCGAGACTTGATCGCTACTGGTAGCTCTGGGGAAGCTCGAGTGCTTGCGGGGTGGTCCTCATGGCTTTTCTCGCCCCGGGCTATTCTGTCACGTTGACGAGAGCAGCAGCAGTAGCAGGAGTAACTTGAGAACTGGGCTACGAAAGCCAGAGCAAACGACTGCAAAGAGCAGGCTACAACTTTTTCGCTCAGACTTTGGGGTGGCAGCAGCTGTGCGGAAGCTTAGCTGATTGTCGGTGGTCAAGGTG